TGACTTGCTGTTTTCTGGCCGCCTGTAGCCTCTCTCTGTCGAGGTTGTACCATAGGTAGGGTAGATTCGTAATTTTGTTTGGCTGAGGGCTAACCGAGAGACCTACCTGTAGTGGAAATTCGTGAGGGACATACCTGCAAATTTGGGAAAATACAGGCCCAACACTAATTGAATTTCCTACTGCTACCCTAACTACGAATAGCAGGCCCGGGCTACCCCCAGGACAGACAGGCCCTCAGGGCCTATGCTGATAGACGGTCCTATAGCCTATAGTCGGGTAAGGTAGAGGTCGAGAGGCCGAAACTGATACGGTACCGGTCGCTCTGTCAGCTCGGTCTAGGTCGAGTCTAGGCTAGCTTAGTCTATAGATAGGACGGGCATATCGGTTGAGGGCTTTTGGCAGTTGGTACCTAGTACATCGCTGTTGCGCTACTCGTGAACCGGAAGTGGTGACGGCTCAGCGTGGAAGGAGACAGGAATAGCCAGACCATCGGAGCGTCGGCCATAGATGGGACCTGCGCTGTACGCTGCCAGCACGCAGGGTCTGACAGAGGTCTGGGCTATTGAGGTGTGTTGGAGGCGAGAAAAGTTGGTGCCCTGCTGGACCCTCCTCCGGAGTGGGGTTCCAGGGTGGTGGCGCTGCAGCCATAGCTGCAACTTCTTCTTCAAAGGTCATCTTGTCAGGGTTTGGTGGCGCTGCTGCAGACGTCCACCCGGGAAGTCTTCTGACACTTCGTCATCATCAGATACTGTGGCGCTGGTCTTCTTCTTCATCCTCTGAGTGGCGCTTGGCCTCTGAGGCCTGTTTCAGGGTGGCGCTTCCCTTTTGAGACTGTATCTGGGTGGCGCTTGATGTTTCAGGGGCTCAAGGGTGTTACGAGTGGTTACTCAGGGTTGGGGAGTGAAGCGCTGCTCATTTCTGAGCAGCGCACTGTAGTACTGGGGTTATCCTGACAATTCGAGACTCTGAGTGTAATAAACAGTGTGTACCTGGGTTTGGACTATCATCGTTTCATTGTTTTCTTGGATGTGATCTGCTCGGCTTTTCTTTATGACTGGTTGTGAGGATTGAGTGGAGTGAATTGCACTCTCAATGTACCTTGTCATATTGCATGGTCAAGTCTTCCGTTGTGTTTATCTCTCCCTGTGCGGTGTGATACTCCTATCCTCTCCCCTTCCTTCTGTGTATGTATGGGCATACCTGGAAGTCTATGTGTGCGAGTGTTGGTCTCAGACAACAAACAACCAGAATCATAACACACTTTATAGCTTCGCCGCTCCCCAGCAAGTGCGCGTAGTTACGTTCGCAACGCTCCCCGTCCGCGCACGCGTTGTTGCGGTCCGAGGTCCCACCGTCCCAAACACGCCACTCCCACACCGCTCCTCGACCGCACACGACGCCAAGCACACCACTCTCACGCCGCTCAACCACCTTGCACGCGCCGTTGTCGCCCGTGGCCACACTACCCCGACCACGCCACTCCCCGCGCTCGGCCACGGCAGTTTCACGGCCCACACCCCGCTCCCGGCCCTCTGCCGCGCCAGACCCACGCACTGCGCAGCGCACAGGAACAAAAAACTCCGCAGGCCCACACGCGCACCACAATAGCGCCGCACCCACATTCTCACACTCGCGCACGACACCGCACTCCTATAGTTGTCGATGTGCACACAGGCCCCGCCATAAAACACCGCGCCCGATTTTCCCTCACTCGCTCCTGCAGTGCCGCCACGAAACGCCGCGCCGTAATTCCCTTGCCCCACTCCCGCCCGCCTTGACACCGAATTTCGCTCACTCCCGCCCGCAGTCCCACCACGAAACGTAGCGCCCAATTTCCCTTGCCCCAGTCCCGCCTGCCTCCGCACCGAATTTCGCTGGGCCCAGCGGAAGGCGTCACGTTGGGCCCTTTGCAGTCTTTAAGAGTATAGGGAAAACAGCCACTTACCTACGGACGGGAGACGCCTCCAGAGATCACTTGATTACAAAAGTAGCGTGGAAATATGTAAATAACCCATCTAGCAAAGGAGGAGTCCGTCTCTAAGACCTGGCAGTGGAGTATAAAGTGTTGCAAGCTAAATGGATATTAAACTAATATTAAAGCAGGAACAACCATGGTAAGAAATAGTGTTGTACCAAGTGAGGAATTTACTGCCATTCAAAGCATACGAAAGCACTGTTACATGCACAGATACGTGATGTACGTAATAACCGAGGATCTGCAATGTGATGAAAAGGACTGAATGGACAATGCGGTGCAAGCAATGTGCATTCTCATACATACATAATGGTGCTGAATAGCGCAGGGAAGACTTAGATACAAAGACTGCCCTGACCGGGACTGACCTCATTCACGTAGTACAAAGTAGCGAAGCAGAATGCTAGAATGCTACTAACTAGCCCAATCAATGTTTGAACTCAGACCAAACATACATCGTATCCATCACCAGGTGTGAAGGAGCCTGGCGTTGTACCCAGAAAGAAAGCGCCAGGTCCAGACATACAGAGACGAAGAGGAAGGGATCAAACGAAAGGAGGGAGAGAGATGGGAATGTCGTCAACACCAAGTCTTTGTCACCAATCCCAAATAGTCCCTCATTGCCATGTCTGAAGTCCCAAAAGTCGAGTCTGGATCCGATGTCACCAAGCTCTGTCTCTCTTCTCTCGTAGTCTGCTGATGCAGTGAAGTCAGATGTTGAGAGGGGGAGAAGGAGATGGTGGACTAAGAAGAGGAAGAAGAAGAACTCTCTCTCACTGTTACGAACCAGATACTAACCTGTGATGKTGGCGCTGTGCTGCAGGTACCTCGAAGACGAAGCTGGAGCAACGGCGCTGCAGGTAAGTACTCCTGGCCTCCGCCCAATCTCTCTCTCTCTCTCTCTAGCACTATCCTAGCTATGGCGCCCAGCGCTGGAGACTACAGCTACCTACTGCGCCCAGCGCTGAAGACTACAAGCTAACGCTACTACTACTACTCTGCAGCGCTCCCTCCAGAGTGCTGCTCCCGAATCCTGAAGACTACAACTGCCGACTGCCTACCTGGGAAGTGCCTGGGAAGTCCCTATGTACTACCTCGGCCTGCCTCCTGACTGCTGAAGGGCGAGCCAGGCCGAGGAGGCAGCTCTTGCCAATGCCGAAATGTGCCAGGGGCTGGCGTGCAGCAGCCTGCTGAGGCTGGCGTGGGGAACAGGCTAAGAATAGCCTGTTCCGAAACCCTGGTTCGGTGCCTGAGTTTCAGGGCCGGTCGTCCTGATGAACGACCGAAAATGGCCCTTCGTTTCAGGCTAAAAAGGCTGTTGCCGTTTTTAGTCTGAAACGACATAGGGGCTGTGGCCCTGGAATTCAGGCTTTCGGCCTGATCCGACATGGGGCCTGTAAGTCCTGGATTTCAGGCTTTCGGCCTGAAATTCAGGCTTTTGGCCTGAAGGACGTCGGGCCTGCAAAATGGCCCGCGTGTGCACGCGCAGCATGTAACAGCACTGAAGGTCACACCTGGCTCATGAATAAGCATTGGGCACCAAGGACGGAAGGTACAAGGCTCAGACCAGGAGGGCACCCCCCCAGTGGTGATCCTCCAAGCCAACATTGGGTAAAATTGATCGCAGCATGGAGGGAGGCATTCCCACAGAGAAGGAGAGGACCAAACTCAAAAGAGGGAGTATTACACCAACCCTTATTCGGAAACGAACTACTAACCGATCATCATCAACAAGCCTGGACACTTTTAGGAAAGGAAAAGAGATGGATGGTATGGGTTGAAAAAGCATATGGAAAATACAACACCTATGGGATGACAGGATCCGAAGATGGAAAACGGAAGAAGAACTAAGACCAAGTCTACGTGGAGTACATAATTTGAAAAAGAACCTCGACGAACTGATTGACAGCATACCAATAGTCTGGAGGATGCTGTTGAAAAAGGAAAAGGCATGTAAAAAGGGAGATTGGGCAACCCTAAACAGTCGTCGACCGATGGAGATATAGCAACCTTCAAGGTACACGAGCTAGAAGTAACAGGGAAGACAATAAAGAAAGTGTGAAGCAACTCACTAACAAAGTTGGAGTTCAACATTCAGGATTTGTGGAAGGTCAGATAATTGAAGAATAAGCAAAGGAGGGAAAAGAGAGGGAGAGGAAGAGCAACGGAATCAGAAGTAGACCCTAGGGAGTGGGACTGGTATGAGGACAGAGGGAGGGGCAGAGCCAAGAAGTGGATAGCATTGCATGAGTACACAGTTAAATTAGGGTCCAAGTCCAGATGCAAGGCGAAAAATCCACCTTCATCCCCAAAGTCGAATGGAAATACCCGCCACAGCCCAAGGCGAAAGGGTCGCTGGGGGTGATGGACCCAAAACTTCAAAGCAAGGCATCCCAAACAAAGTGGATCCTGAAAATCCTCACCGCCCCGCACCTGCCCTGGCACCCCTTCGCCCTGCGCCAGATAAGGGCCTTGCCCAGGTTCACCACATCGTTCAACATGCAGGGACCGTTTTGGCTCATGGGCAAGTCATGGGCTCGACGACATTTGAGGGGACCCGGACCGGACAGCCCATATTGGAGCCACCTGCTAAAGATCTGGAGAGATCCTGCCTCCCAAAGTCAGAGTGCTGCAGACAAGGGATGAGGTGCTGAGACAACCCCTGTTCTGCAACCAATGGCTCATGGACAACAATGGTAAGCCCTGGATACTCACAGCGAAAGATACGAGATGGGGCACATGGCTTGAGAAGGGGGTCTGCCAGATCAAGCACATTTGGAGTGAGCACCTGGGCCGTTGGAAATTGCAGTGGAAATGAGAGACACCCTGAACGGCTGCCACAACCTCCACGTCAACCTCAATACCATCCTTGTGCCAATCCTGCAAGACTGGCAGGCCACACTGACTATGCCCACCAGCTGGGCTCCGGGGGACTGGGCAACAATGATAACAGACGGTATACCAACAGCAGCCCGGACTTTTGCGGGACATGCAAGACCGGAGGGTGACTGGCTCCTCTTCGACGCTCAAACCATTGCAACTCCGGGTGTGTTCATGAGCAGACTACACAAAGCGAACTCAGGCCAGGTAGAGGTCAAAAGACACCTGCTGTGCAAGGTCAGAGTGATGGAAGACGATGACCTTACGATCTACGGCCCCATGATCGGTATCCAGGACTTGGAGGTGGACCTGACGAGATGGGCTCAGAAACTTCAGCGGCACCCAGGCGCTGAGCAGACGAGGGTCAACATCCTCAGATACACCACACACCTTGGGTACAAATTGAGACACCGGCCGGTCGACGTCCAGGCCAATGTCGTGGAGAGATGGCAGAGACAGGCAAACATCGACCCTGTTGGGCTGCAGCAAATCCCCTGGACAAGAATACTGGCCATCAGAAACAAGAGAATCAGAAGCATCCAGTGCCTGATCGCTTACTCTGCACTATCCCTGAGCCAATGGATCAACAGGAGATGCGACCCCCAAAGAAGGACCCCGTTCGATAACCTCTTCACAATCTGCAGCACGGTCCAACAAGAGGACATCATCCACTGCCTGCTCACTTGCCACAAAGCAAGCAAAATCTGGGACAGAGTGAATAGGCTTCGGCAGGGAGTGACGAACACCTCGCTCCCGGGCACAGCAAAAACAGGTTTCAGTGACCCTGTGTACACAGAGCCGCACCACAGAGAGCTGTTTATCAGGCTTCGACCGATCACCCTCTGGGTCATTTGGAAGAGGAGGTGTGAGGAGACACTACAACATGTAGAAAGAGTCCAGCAATCTGACCACCAGGTCTGGGACGAGCTCCTCCTCCTATTGGAAACAGAGTACTGGGCCGTGTGGGACAAGCGGAGATGGGAAATGCGGCAGAACACGGATAAGGTACAAGAGCTTCTGGACAAGTTCTGTTTGGAGACCCTAGGCTGAGGAGAAAGCTCTGCTTCAACTGGTTCCGAGCAGGTAGCAAGGCAGACCTGCCACAGGCATCCTGTTTAGGTGGAAGCCGGGAGCCGGTGGGCAGCCTCACGTCACCTTAGTGTGACATGCGGGAGAAAGGCCCGGCCGCCCAGCCGTAGCATCTGGTGACTTCCAAGCCCGGGCAGAAACCCCCTCGGGGTATCCTGGGGAGCCAGAGCTGTGTAGCACTGAGGCCTGTGCCCACGCACCGGGCAGCCAGGAACGCAGAGTGGGGGTTGGGGAACAGTTGAGCTCCAAGACTAGACTAAGTTGTTCCTTCAGAACTTCCCACCTCCCACAGCAGACACTGGAAGGTGTCAATATACCAGGGAAGAACAAAAGGACACGCACAGATCCAGAGGACTAGAGCCCTCCAGGGTTTAGGGTTTTAACAGGCAGAGCCCCCAGGGTTTATGGTTTTAAAAAGCAGAGCCCCCAGGGTTTAGGGTTTTAACAGGCAATCTGCCGAGGGCAGACAGATCGATGACCCGGGGTTGTGCGAGAGGAGAACAGCAGCAATCGAAAACATAGAAATGCAATCAAGAGGATGGGACAGGGAACAGCGGCCCAGTAGCCATGGGCTAACTTAGGCAGGGGTGAGGGGAGGTACGCACTTCCAGATTGGAAGTAATCAACGCTGCCCACTTGGGTCTCTCTACCATAAACGGGAGAAGCATCGCAGTGTGTTGTACCTTGTACTCTGACTTGCCGGTGGAAGACAAACTGCACTGACGCTCCCCAGAATGTACATGGAGCCGGAGTCATACGGCTCTGTTTTAGAGGCAATAAAAAGAAAAAGAGTAGGTCAAGCGGGGGCAGAGGGCACAGTACATCCTCCGAGGATGGAAATTATCAACGTCACCTGCTCAGGTTCTGTCAGCTGAGAGAAGTGTCAGTATGGATTCATCTTGTAAGGGATGATGGCCTGCTTCCAGCCATATAATCCAAATCTAACTCTGTGAAAAAAAGAAGAAAAACACAGAAGGAAAAGGTCATACAAGCGCAGCAGAAACACAGCCAAGCAAGAAGATGCAGCTCCACAAAACATCTAGATGCAGTCTTGATTCTCCGTTATTGCTTGGAAGTTTCCAGGAACTCCTCTCCATAAGTTTATTTGCTTCATTCATTCCTGTAGCTAATTGTTTCATCTCTCTTTACTCTTCTAGTAATGACAACTGCCGTTCGCTTAGAAAAGTCAAAAATTACTGTTGTAGGATGTGTCCTTGGCTGTAAGTGGTATTCTTGGTGGAGATTGTCCACTTTATGATGTATTACAAGCAGCCAGTGATGATATATTACAAGCAGCCAGTGAGAGCTAACATGCGCAAAGGAAAGGTGCAGTCATGGCGAAATTGTCACTTACCATGGTCGGTGACGTGGATCATATATCTGACCTGGCAATTTCTTTTCCTTACAATTGTATGGGTGGTCATCACCCTTCTTAAATTGATTCTGGGCAAGACAACAGACATACAGCAGGCGGAGTCACAGATTTCCGTCAATTTGCAGGCAAAAGAGGTTGGAAGGAGATGTCGAGCATGCTGCAAGGTTCAGGAACTGCTTGGCAAAAGCTTTTTGCATGAGCAAGCAGTGTGTATGAAAGCTTGGGACTGGGTTGTGATCTGCTTGTCACCCACACACAGAAAATATCTTAGAATAAACACAAGACCTCACACAAAAAATCAACATCATGGTTGCAGTGCACCTGGACAGCTGTATCATTTGTAGATTGTCTGGACTGAGGTGTGGATGGCATCCAGACGTCAGCATGCAAAGGGGTTGTCCCAAAACGAAGTTCTCCTTTTCTCAATCTTTCTCTCACTTGGTGATGTGGCGGTGCCGTCCTAGTTGCTCCGTAGCTCATGTATGTATGTGTTGTAGTCTCATTGGTGCTAGTTCGGTCTATCTTCCACTTAGTGATGTACCGGTGTTTTCCTAGTTGCTCCATAACTCATGTATGTGTGTGCTGCAGCCTCAATAATGCAAGTTCAGTCTTTCTCTCACTTGGTGATGTGGCAGTTACTTCCTAGTTGCTCCATAGCTAATATATGTACGTGTTGTAGTCTCATTAATGCG